CACTAGTAAAAAACTGACACCGCAAAATCCTTTACCAAAACTGAAAATTCCATAGTGTTCTGATAACGGTTGAAAGTTCACGGAGGATAAATCAGGACAAACTTCACTCTAAACTTTACCTATATTTTAACAGCTAGAATGAAAGCAATGCCTTGCCGGGATCACATTTATTAAAGGGTCAGTCCACCCAAAATATGTATTTTAGTTTTTGGTAAATGCTGGAGAGTTAAACCAGCTGAGAGCTTCTTGTATCACTCAATGACTCTACTGGTGAGATCTCTGCACCGAGTCCCCGAATCTGCACATAACCCATGGTCATTATGAGGGGTTTCCACTCTCCCTGCCTGAGTAGCTGGAACACTGGTGGGCAGGAATACCCAAATGTACCAGGTGGACAGGAACGGAGTCCGGAATTATCTTGTTATTGAAGCATTTAGACATACAACCTTTATATAAAACATCATTTTTGGATGGAGAAACCCTTCAAAATACATTTGTAAATTAAAAGTTGTTTAAAGCAGAACTCTAAATTTTGTTAAACAAATATATGAGATGCCCTCCTGGCCAATTTGTAAATTGTTATAAAAACAATTATTGGCCGCAGATAGAGAGGAAATGATTTAATACCTTGTAAACACAAATGTCACTTCTCTGCACTGGAACAACTGCCTTCCCAGAATCCCCTGACCCCTGCTCTTGTAATTAATGGCATCTCACACAGAACTATGCAGGTAGCCCAAGATCAAATGACATGCATGCTGTTGTATGAGGTCTGGCATCCCCGGCATACTAGAAACATTTTTATATGAAAATATGGGCCAAATGTCCTGGCACAATGGGACCTTTTCAAGAATCAAACCTCCCCTGTAGATGTACTTGAGGAGAACCAGGTTCATCAGGAAAGTTACTTCAAGTCCAATATATGATACTTTATAGAATGATGAAAGGACTCCGGGGATGCAATATTTCATACACCTATGGCATTAAGTGTGCATGCTTATGGAGAAAAAACCCATCTGCATCATCTAGAGCCAGCCATGTAGAACTTTTCCAACTGACCTATCATTTCTTTCTACAAGAGCCAGCACTAGTCTTTCATATCAATATTTATGTGTGATCATACAGCACCACCTGGGGATTTATGAAGCAAATAATTCCCAGCAAGAACATCATTTTACATGCTTCTCATACCCTCATCTACAATGCATCTGGAAGCTTGAGCAATGCAACTGACAGACCAACCTCAATGGGTTGTGCCTGGCTTGCCTTGGCAGGAAGGAGGTCTTCCATCAATAAAACATGACTTTGTCCATTTTTTTCCCTTGGCTTTACCCATTTCTGCAATTGGTGGGCAACTTCAGATCACCGCAGACAAGACAGATGCTTCAAGAAAGGAAAGCGGGATGATACTATACTACAATACTAAAAAAATATAAGCTAGTTACATCCCCAACCCTATTACATCCCTAGAAAACAATAAATACATAAACCTGTAACTCTCTCTGACCGATGTGGGCCACCCACAGGTCTACCGCTGAACCGCATGTCCCATCATGCACTGGCAGCCAATGGCAGGCTTCCACAGGCATGCTGGGACTTGTAATACTATTCAGCTGAGGAGCCAGAGGTTGCCACATTCACGTCTTTGAGATTATTAAGTGCTTTGTGTTAATTTTAATCCGTTGGATTTATGTCACGTCTGGTAACAAGAATAAGCTAGAAAAATATATATATGGCCGTGCTGCAATTCAAAAGGAACACAACCTCCAGATGGGAACCGTCAAGCCACCAAGACGAAAACCGTTTGATTTTATAACCAAATCTCTACTTGCAATCAGCTCCATGTATACGTGTCTTATCAATGCTTCAAGCAAACTTGTTTCTGCGTATAGAACGTAACTATAATTGTACATAGCAATCATGTTTCCCAATAACATATACTGTACATGTTGTGCTTCCTTAGTAGCTGTACAGTCATTGTGCCATGGGAAGAATGTGATCTTTCATTAAAACAATATACTCTCTGATGACCCATGGCCTTACTGATTGAAAGTGCCCGTGCCAACACTATAGACATTAAAGTATTTATATATTAACAAATCAGTAAAACAGCTTTACAACAAGCCCTCACTCACCTCCCTAGGTGCGTGTACTGTGAACTTATTCATTCTCAAAGACTGCAACAAATATTCTATTGCTGATATGTAGCAGCTTAAAAACACTTGCTGTGTGTTTACATTACAGGGCTGATGGGCTTCCAAATTCTGCACCCCATAGCAAGTAAAGGAAAATGAATCTCAGATTTCAGTACCTCCGTTGTGAATTTAAAGAAGAATTTCTCCACAATGCTACAGCTACAAAGGTGCATGATGGCTTGTGTGAAAGTGCTTTTACGTCTTCTTCAGAATATGTTAATACTTAAGGAGAACTATGAGGTGAGTGAAAAATCAATAGATTGGGAAGTGAGCGAACACATACCGCCGCTTGCTCACTTCTCGAGCATCTCCCTGCAGAGAGCCGTGACTGTCAGTCACGGCTCCCTGCAGGGATTCCCCTCTCTCCGATCCTCCAACGCTGACGGGAGGAACGGACGGGGGCAGGCACAGCTGGCTCTGCCTCTAGATAGGCAGAGCCCGCTGTCATTCACGCAGCTGGGTGGATCTCGACAGTATTGTTGCGATCCGTTCCAGCTGCGGCGCTCTCAGTATACCGCGAGCTGTGGCTCGCGATATACTGAGCTTTGGGTCACGGGAGTACGCTAGTTTATGTCCTCCCGTGACCCTTAAAAGAACTATGGGGGGAAAAAAACTTACCCTATGGTTCTCTCTTTAATGTGCAAAGTCTGGATGCAGGGTCACTTTACAGCAATAATTCATCAGCAGTTCTAACGGCACAGAAATATGAACATGAACTCATGGCACAGCAAGTGACTAAAATGTGAACAGTCACATCAGATATTACATTCAGGTAAACCTTACACTAATGGCTCACAATAAATACTTGCTGAGAATACAAAGTCATTTCCCTTTCAATGGGGTTCTACACCCAGCTACAGACATATGCTGTGTCTACCTAATCTGACTGTGGAATATACAGATGCACGTGGTCAGGACAAGGTTGATAAGCCTGTTATTGGCACAGATGAGAAGCAATGGAGGAAGCTATTCAAAATCAGGAGGTGAAGATGCCTTGGCTCCGTAGCAGAAAACAAGATGATTGGCGGCTGTTTTAAGAGTCAACCTACTTGGTGAAAAATGAGAGCACAGCAGATAGGTAGACCTAATCCTAGCTCCCCTGCAATCCAAATACATACTGGTAAACCAATTGGCTTCCCCTCGAAACTGGCTATAGCGTGTTCATGCAAATGTGCATGTGCTGGGGAGCTTTGTAAACTATTCTAGAGCAGGGATTGATATAAAAGCTTTCTATAATCTCTGTAAACACTGAGGGATAAATCCTCTTTATAAAAATCACAAGCATTAAAAGTAAATGGAAAATTTAATTGGATGACACAAAGTTTTTTAAAGTATTAAGTATCATTGACACTTTTTTTTAATTATATATATATATAAAATACTAATTTGTATCATTGCTGCTGATCTCCTGTAGAATCACTGCAGCCACTTCCTGTCTGCATCCACTCCAGTGATGGCTGCATTGCATTTCTAAAAGCAGGTTTCCTCATGGTGACAACAGTGGATCATGCCAGCGCAATGTGTGTCAAAATGGCCGCTTTTAGCTTCCACTGGAAGAAAAGGTGACAGCGCAAGCGCACAATTGGGATTTGAAAAAGGCGTATTGCCGCCCTATGACAGGAAGTGTCTGAATAAGGACATTCATGCCAGAATTACCAGGTATTATAATGAAAGCTGCCGATTAAAACTACCAAAAACGCTTACATGACATACACTTGTCAGGCCAATGTAGTATTGCAGAAATAAATGTTGCTACACTAACGATCACATACATTAATGGTAATCTGGTCTTTCTCCCTTATGTATAGATCTGTACGTTTTCTACTACTATAGAGCATGCATCGTCTGGATCAGCCCCTGCCCCAGATACCAATAAGCCCAACTGAACGGAGACACCTCTGACTGGTCCTGAGATGAACAACAGAGATGACTAAGCAATGATAAAAAAAAAATAATTAAAAAAGTTGTTTCTGGTCACATGATTTATCGGTCTCCCAGGCTCCTCTGCCTCCTCCTCTGAGGTCTTGGTGGTCTCTTGGATATCCAGTTTTCCCATGACCCCACAGACAGCACGTTCCAATCTAACACCTACAATCCGAGTGTTTTAAACAGTGCTAAGCCTTAGTGCAGAGGTTCTCAAACAAAGAAAATTCTGCTCTATACAATCAGATGGTAAACATATCCCACAACAAGTGATGAGTCTCATTTGTTATGGCAAACAGCCCCCACCCACCCCATCTATAAGTCTTAAGAAATACGTACTCAAAAACAGGAAGAACATAAAAGCAGACATTTGTCTGTGACAACCAAATCAGAGACTTCCTTCTACTTCCTAACCTGCACTGGCACAATGACACCTCCATCATTGGTTGGTGGTGGCAATTCATACTTCATTCTAGGCCTCTCGTTTATAAGGATGCTAAAAATCTGCCAGACGTTACTATATAGGTGACCTAGCTTGCGTCCGTGAGGACGATACCGTAGTTTAGATGAAGCAAGCTTGGGCAAGAATTCAATAATTACACCGCCTTCAGACATCCCATTCATAAAAATGACTTCCGGGATCCTCAATGTGCCAAGCAACCGCTAACATCATGCTGAAGGGACAGTGCCCCATGTGTGGGCTTTCTGTAGCCTGGAACCAGGAGACGACTGCTAAGAAAATGGCAACCCAATGGAGCGAGAGATGAAAAGGCAACCAGCGAAATGGCCGGATCTGCCATGTCAAGAGCACATGGTGTTTAGGTGACTGTACAGCGCACAAAATGACTTCCTTCGCCACGTGTATGAAATGAGAACTTGACCCACAATACAGGCTCCTCCACTTGTACAGTTGTAGCATATACATACAGAAGACAGCGCTCTAGTTACAGTATTCAGCATGAGATGGACACCAGTTTGGCTTTCCTCTCCGACAGATGTGTGCGGTTATGGTAACCACTTTGCATAGTGTGACTCCCTTTTATCTCCCAGGATCAGCTGGCTTCCATGCCTTCTGCTCCCTTTAGAACCCATCATTGCATTTTCTTGCCCTGGCACAGTGAAGCTTCCAGTAAAGAGTTATTTAAAATTAGAAAACAAGAAAAAAAAAAAAGTTGCAACAGTTTCGGAAAAGTATTGTAAAGTGCTCGTCCAAGGCCAAACACTGCGGCCATCTTCCCTTGTTGCCTGTGTCTCTTCCGCCCAAGGCAGGCATTGAAAAGTGCTTTGGTTACTGTAGAGTCCACATATCCATGTCATGAGCGCCGCGCATCTCAGCCCGCTACCGGCTAGGATTCTGGGCCCTGCCCCTAGAGGGCAGGATGGAGACATGAGATCTGTGGCTTCTTGTTTGGGTGACCCATAGGGTGAAGTATGTACACTATACAATGTTTTCTGCGCCAGGCAGAGGCCCTTGCGGAGGTCCGTGCTCCTGTTTGCTGTGTAGTTGTGCCAACTGTAGGACGGGCATGTTGCAGAGGGGACACACTTTCCGCACCTCCAGCCATTTAATGAGGCACCTAGAGGGAAAAACCACAAATTGATTAGCCCTCCAGCCTTGTAATTAGCACATTGTAATATATTTTACCAAGCGAAATGGGTAGGATTGACACAAGACATGGCAACCTATCAGCAAAAGCAAGTTACAGAGGCAATCAACAGTGTGTGATCACATTGCATGCAGCTATAATAGGGTATCGGTCCTTGCCCCTCACCAGCTGGGCACACTTTTTACAGGTTAAAGGCCCATTAAACCCAAAGGTCATAATTTACTCATTGGTGCACCTGATGAGCTCAGCCAGCCCCTGGCTTAGAATACGTCTTGGATTCTCAAACCTGCATGACCTCCCTGACATATATTCTCAGCTCTGTCCACCTGGGAGTTTAGAGCGTTCCCACCCAATTTTATGTGTTCTGCCTCCCATTACCTTCTTCAAAATCTCCAATAATGTAATAAAGTCCAACAAGTATAGCAGGATGCTCTCATAGTGGGCAAAACAGGAGTTCAGTTCTGGGGACTTACAGTGGCTTGAAAAAGTATTCACCCCCCTTGGCATTTTTCCTATTTTGTTGAATTACCACCAGGCATTAAAATGGACTTCTGGGAGTTTGTATCATTCGATTTACACAACATGTAATATCACTATGAAGATGCAAGATATTTTTATTGTGATACAAACAAGAAATAAGACAAAACAAAACAGAAAACTTGTGTGCATAACTATTCACCCCCCCCCCCCCCCCCCCCCAAAGCCTACAAATACTTTGTAGAGCCACCTTTTGCCACAATTACAGCTGCAAGTCTCTTGGGGTACGTCTCTATACGCACAGCACATCTAGTCACTGGGATTTTTGCCAATTCTTCAAGGGAAACCTGCTCCAGTTCCTTCAAGTTGGATGGGTTTTCACAAACTTTAAGTCACGCCACAGATTTTCAGTTGGATTGAGGTCTGAGCTTTGACTAGGCCATTCCAAGACATTTAAATGTTTCCTCCTAAACCACTTAAGTGTTGCTTTAGCAGTAGGTTTAGGGTCATTGTCCTGATGGAAGGTGAACCTCCATCCCAGTCTCAAATCTCAGGCAGACTGAAACTGGTTTCCCTCAAGAATCTCCCTGTATTTAGCACCATCCATCATTCCTTCAATTCTGACTAGTCCCGGCCAATATATGACATCCCCACAGCATGATGCTGCCACCACTATGCTTCACTGTGGGATGGTCTTCTTGGGGCGATGAGAGGTCTTTGGCTTGCACTAGACACAGCGTTTTCCTTGAAGGCCAAAAAGCTCAATTTTATTCTCATCTGACCAGAGTACCTTCTTCCATATGTTTGGGGAGTCTCGCACATCACTCTGCCAGTCTGCTCACAGGTAGATTGTGTTATTTCTAACTTTGTCAAAATATCCTGAAAATGGGTCGGGAAAAATGACCATCAGAGCTTTAGAAAAATGTGAATTGATTCCAACCATTCTAAAAAGGTGAAGGTAAACCCATTGAGGAAGCAGTAGCTCCATTGTTTTCCAGATTCCCCTAAACATGATGAACAGGAAAAAGAAGAGGGCAGGAGTGCAACAGTCTGGTGCCAGGTGTGTGCATGGGGAGTGATGAGTAAATGAGGATGTGTATATGTGGGGTGGTGAAAGGGGATGTTGAGCACTTACATGTGATGGGGGTGTGGTGGTGGGACACTTCTGTTGGCGTGGTCGTGTAGTCACGTTTTGGGGCTGGACCACCCTGGGAGTGCACTAATCAGTCTCATCTGAACTTTCTACTCCCTATACATGATGGGATGTTTGAAGAGAATACAGGTTCCGTTTAGCACCTTGGTTCTCAACTGGTGGGTCTGGACCCAAAAGTGGGTCGCGACCCCGTGTTCAGTGGGTCGCCGCATGCCTTCCACTTTTCTAGGTGAGAGGCTCATCAGCCTCCCCATCGCGCAGCACTGTCAGTTCTTACGCTGAGCAGCCATTCAAAATATGCTGCCCAGTGTCAGCTCGAGGTGGGGTGTACTGGGGGTATGACTGCAAGGGAGCTCCATCCATACATGCATTGCTTATAGCTCCCACGCATGTCCTGTAGTGGTGCCTGGACTGGAGTGACGTCACATTCTGGCTCCTGGTACCTCTACAGGCGCACATGGGAACTGTACAAGCAATGCATGTATGGATGGAGCTCCGTCACAGCACAATGGCCCACACTGCTGTGCGTTCCATTGCAATGCAACTTGGGTCGCGACTTAATGCCCGAGGACAAATGTGGGTCTTAAGGTTACACAGGTTGAGAACCACTGGTTTAGCACATTTCGAACAATGGTGGATCAGGCCAGAGAGGATTTATACTGGTGCAGAACTCCTTCTGACCACTAGAGGGATACATTCACCTTAAATGCACATGGCTACAATGCTGTATTGTACACTGCCTGGCCAAAAAAAGTCACCACCTGGATTTAGCTAAGGAAACAGGTAAGAACCTTCCATTGGGTAAGTGTTATGATCTGGGGTTGCTTCAGGTGGTCAGGCCTAGATTCAGCAATGTTATGTCCCCAAAAAATGAGGTCAGATGCCTACCTGAATATACTGAATGACCAGGTTATTCCATCAATAGATTTTTTTCTCCCTTGATGGCACATTGGGCATATGCCAAGATGACAATGCCAGGGTTCATCGGGCTTGTGAAAGAGTGGTTCAGGGATCATGAGACATCATTTTCACACATGGATTGGCCACCACAGAGTCCAGACCTTAACCCCTTTGAGAATCATTAAGATGTGCTGGAGAAGAATTTATACAGTGATCCAACTCTCCCATCATCACTACAAGATCTTTGTGAGAAATGAATGCAACTCTGGATGGAAATAAATGTGGCATTGCATAAGCTTATCGAAATGATGCCACGGTGAATGTGTGTCGTAATCAAGCCTATAGGTGGATATAGTATATTAGGGTGTGTGACTTTTTTTGGCCAGACAGTGCATTTGTAGGTCCCCCTGCTCGGTTTAGTAGACATTAGGGACCCCAATTTTGGAAATAGTACCAGCTCAGAAATGTGTCAGTGCCTTGAAAGTGAACCTGTCACAAAATCATGGGGGCCTATGGCTCTGGTCCACCTCCTCTCACTCCTTACCATTGACCTATCACCAGCCTCACTAAGCAGCATTAGGCGGAGCCGGCAACCCCAGATGGTGCTCACTGTCTGATTACCTGAGACCCCAGTGATGCTTCACAACCAACTAAAATGCATCTAAACCCCCAAAGTGAACTTCTGTTAGGTCTCATTCACGCCATGTGTGTTGATCAACATTTCACAATGCAGGCTCAATGCAAGGGCACATAGAAAACAATTGACACCTCACACGTCGGTGTGAGTAATGTACAAACGTTGCATATCTGTATTTTTACATGGCACATGTGACCGCAATGCAGTAAATACATAAAGTCCTGTACACACCAACAGGGACATGCATTATATCGCAGCATCATGCACTCCCGTTGCTGCGAACAGGCCTTTCTTTGCTCTTGTTCTATCTGTTGTGACTATTATCAGTTATTCTTAGTTAAGTCTGAGGACTACAGAACTATTCTCCTCTATAGTCTGGACAACAGAAAAAAGATGGGGTTTTGTGGTCCTGTGTTGTTTCTGTTGTCCTGACACAGTAGAACGAGTGAATTTCATCATCCTAGGACAGGAATTGCGGAACTGGCCCAATCACCAGATTTTGGGCATGCTGTATGGGACCATGCCCCCGTAAATATGGGTGTAACATGAAGCATGGCCTAAGCCTTTAATACTTCAGGAAATGATTTCAGGTCCCACCTCTCTCGGATATAATGAAGGTTGCAATTGTTCCTAAGATGGTAATTACCAAAGTTCCATAATTCTTTTCTACAATGAAGCAGGCGTGGTCCTCAGGAGATATAACGTGACCCCTGAACCCAATTTCATACCTGAGGCCCCATTCACACCTGAACGGCTTGTAGTGTATAGCTCCAAAATCCCATGCTTCTAAACTGTGCCTGTTCATGTGTCGGCGTTCAGGCGCCCAGAGCTCAACCCATGAAGCTCAAAAAGGCAGATGAGATACTTTTTAGAAGCACAATGGGCTTTTGTGGCCCAAAAGACATTAATGGAAGTTTCTGAATATGCCTGAAAATAAAGTGTTGTTCAACATCATCATGTTTTTCAGCTTTCCATCGGCACAGGGCCTGAACACGCCTACATCCCCATAATTCAAGCCGACCTGTGACACCGAAGATGTCACAGGTCAGCTCTATTGATCGGGAAGTCAGCGAACACAGACCACCGATTGCTCACTTCCCGATCTTCTCCCTGCAGAGAGTGGTGACCGCCAGTCCCGTCCCCCCGATCAGCTTTCAAGCAGCCAGCGGGGTGGATCTCAACAGTATCGTCGGCATCCATCCCGGCTGCGGCACGGGTCTGCAGTGTCAACATATAGCAGGCAATAGCCCGCTATATACTAAGTTCTTGGTCACCATACATTAATATATGTCCTCCTGTGACCCTGAAGAGAAATATGGTCAAAAAGGGTTAGGCCGTAGTTCTCCTTTAAATATGAACGCAGTTCAGCCCTCTGTTTCATTCGACATGCCTGCTATGAAGCCATCACCCACTCACACCGTCTGCTGGCTCTGCTCATTATACACTGTGCACAGGCCTGACAAAAGGGCCCCCCGTGGCCCCTCCATATATATGAGCTGGGGATGAAGCCATCACCCGCTCACATCGTCCCCTGGCTCTGCTTATTATACACTGTGCACAAGCCCTATTTCTTGCGTTTGCAGTGGAACGGAACGCTGGCAAAGTTTTGCCATGCGTTCGGTTCGCACTACGGGCGGGGGGCGTGGAAGCGGTGCCATTAAATACAATGCACAGCCACGCCCCATCCCAAAACGTGGGGGGAAGTTTCTCCGCAATCGCGGTGCGTTCCAGCAGCTACCGCTCTGGAACGCACACGCTTTCGGTGTGAATAAGCCCTGACCGAGAAGCCCCATATGTTGTGAGGGGGGATGGGGGGGTGCTAAAGTGGCCGCTGATGGCGCCGCCAAATACTTCCAAAACAGAACAAATGGTCACCAGCACTCCAAATTTTCTTTAAAACTAAATCCTTCTATTAATTCTCACAGGTCATATCACCATGCGTGGCAACGTTTCGGAACCTATCCAGTCCCTTCATCAGGCAAACTAAAGTGATTTTCATTAAAGACGCACCCCAATTACGCATTCTGAGAAAAACACGTGCGTTTTGTAATTTAATGGTAATGAGCGGGCCTTTTTTCCCCACATGGAGATATTAGAAAGCCATAGGAGGAAGCAGAATAGGGGGAGGCAACCCTCCAGCTGCTGTGGAACTATAAGTCCCGTGAGACATTCCAGGACTCTGACAGCGACAGGCATGACCCCCAGAGGCGGAGGAATGATGGAATTTGTAGGTTCACTACCGTTGGAGTGCCGAGGTTGCCTATCCCTGAAGTAGAGTATGCTGCAGGGGGCTCTACCCCTAATACTCAGCACAGAACACAGGGCCCATAGATCTCTATGATGGGGGCGACTACTGCCCGGAGAAACAGACCAATCAGAACAAGCGGAGGATCGGGGGGTATTTTCTTCCTTTGGCAGTACTTACTTTCTGTGAAAGGCGTGCTTGCAGGGACATATACCAAGCTCATCTTTGGGCTTAAATTCCTCCAGGCAAACGGCACAAATCTAGGAGGAAGGAAGAAAACACCATAAGAGACAAACATACAAATATCAACATATCAGTTTATCACAGGGACATAATATGATGGGGATTCAGAATTATAGAGCTGCCACCAGAACGAGGGAGGGAGGGGAAATCTTTCATTGGGGCATGTGCTGTAGTGCTAATTTGCTCTCATTTCTTGTTGTGTCCCAGGGACAGGAAGTGAAGGGGAATCTCTCTACCAGGTGGTGGACATCAAAAGAAAAATTCTAACCAATTCCTACTCTATCCAAAAACATTGACACTTTAAAGCCTCTAAAGCCAGAAAAGGATAAAAAAAAAGGGGCATATGAATTTCCGGTGCTCCTCAGCGCCATCTAGGGGCATAGGAATTCCTGGGCTCCTGAGCACCATCTAGTGGCACAGAAATTCCCAGTGCTCCTCAGCGCCAACTAGTGGCATAGGAATTTCCTGTGCTCCTCAGCGCCATCTAGTGGTATAGGAATTCCTGGGCTCCTGAGCACCATCTAGTGGCATAGGAATTTCCGGTGCTCCTCAGCGACATCTAGTGGCATAGGAATTTCCTGTGCTCCTCAGCGCCATCTAGTGGTATAGGAATTCCTGGGCTCCTGAGCACCATCTAGTGGCATAGGAATTTCCGGTGCTCCTCAGCGCCATAGGAATTTCCTGTGCTCCTCAGTGCCATCTAGTGGTATAGGAATTCCTGGGCACCATCTAGTGGCATAGGAATTTCCAGTGCTCCTCAGCGCCATCTAGTGGCATAAGAATTTCCGGTGCTCCTCAGCGCCATCTTTCCCTTCTATTCCTATTTCAGTGAATACTGTAACATTTTGGATAATCCATCACCTTCTGCCTGCTGAGGATAGTCATCAGGAATAACAAGAAGGGCAATCATCCCCTGTTGAGAGCAGGGTTCTTACCCTTCTGCACTCCATTCAAAACTTTAAATAAAAAAGTCTAAGTTTTAGATGTACATTATATGCAAAATTAAGTAATATTTAGGTGCATTTTCTTGGCTCTCTGACTGATTATATCATCTATCGGTGTGTACACATAGGGTGGGAAGCTGGCCGCGCGGTTAGGGCTCGCTTCCATCGGAATGCATGTAACAATACGTGTCGCACTAACATTGTGTTTCTGAAAGATGACATTTCAATTGACCGGAATGGCAAATTACAGGTCATTGCACATCATTGCACACAATATGCAGCATGCAGGACTTATATCCAGCGGACTGAAACGCAAAGCATTGCTGGGAAAATAATCTATGAGGACATTGGACTTCCTGCTGTCCAAGCATCCTCACCTGCCCTGGAAAATTCCCGACAACGGTGGGAACGAGCCCTCCCAGGTCAATGGACTCCTATGTGTATTTATGCAGATGGGGAAACACCATCCCAGATATTACAACCACCGTCCTCGGTTTGTACATGGAGGAATAGTTTGATGCCATTTAAATAAGAATTAAAGTGCAACGTTTTTAGTTTTGGATAGAGTGGAGAGGGACTAAAACATGGGTGAGGCTTTTATTGCTGTCTGTATCCCCGTTAAGGAGTTTCATCTTCTCTATTTGTCCTGGTGACCTTTATTACTGAAAGTGAAAGAGAATCATGAATGTTGGGTTGTCACCAAAACAGGAACTCAGAACTCATAGGTGGGAAAACCTCACTAGTTCTGGTGACCACCAGGGATTTTCTTCTAATGGATGGATTTTATCTCACTTCCTATGTGAAGGGGGAACTCTCCCCAAATGTTAGATTGATTAGCAACCACTCAGGCAGGATAGGATCAGAATGTACTTAGCTGGCCAGCCGGGAACATGCAGCAACGCAGGCACGTTCAAATAATATGGACTCACTCCTTTTATAGGGTTTTGAACAGTGGAACCATCTGTGTTACCTTGAATTATCTCCAAAAAGCAGATAATAATGACACCTGTACTCATTTCATTAGATGGGTCTTCTCGTCTTGATAAAACCCCCTCATATCAAGGTTAGGGGACAGCTGTCTTGGCATTGAACCTATAGCTCATTAAATCAAGGTCCCTCATATCAAGATTTAGAGGACAGCTCTTCATTAAATCAAGGTCAATGGTCAACATGTTTATGATTCTATGTTTAAACTTTTGTTACCTCAACCCATTAGATCTAAACTCTAGTTAACACAAAAATCTAAATGTTGCTTATTCATACAACTCACATATATGTATAATATGTGTATATGGCGTTTCCACTATATAATTGTGTACTATATAAATGCAGACTTTTGTATAAAGCACAATTTATGATTTGGTCTTCAAGCTAAATTTTGAGCTTGACAGTGAGATGCAACTGGGATCATTAATACTCCCTATACACTTGTTTCGACTACTGGACAGGAAGTGAAGGGCTATCTATTCAATGGGAAAAAAGCTGACAAGGCGATAACCTTACTTTATCCAAAACTAGAAAAAAACGACCGCTCGAGACCGACACCCACCCTTCAAGGAATTTTGATAATTGCATAACGCCTCCTAGACGAGAGACATGTTTTAAGGACCCCATGTATAGCACTATGATCTGCCTGCATAGCATGGAGACGCACAGAGACCCAGTAATGCTATCACAGGGGCCAAAAGAAGGTATGTAATTAAAATGTCATTAACCTGTTGATGAGGGGGTGGGAGGAACCAGGGAAGGCACAATATAAACTTCAGCTTTAAAGTACGAAGGGTAAGAAACAGCCCACAGACACCAGATGGCAGGAGTCCGATCCAGCCCTTTGGAGGAACCGCGATCAGCTATCCTTTGTAGCCCTGTGAATATGAACTTTCTTGTGTCACAACTCTCGCTAAGCCTGCTGAACTACAACTCATCGTCTGAACAATATAACATAATCATTGCTTGCTGGAAGCAATGCATGATGGGATATGTAGTCTTGAGACATGGAGATTAGATCATATCAAGCAGCAGGGGTAGAGACGCAAAGCACAATGGGAATCCAGGAAGTTGATGAAACTGATGGTCAGACAGAAGGCAGCACTCACTAGATAAAAGGGATTTATTCACGTTAGCTCTGATTGTATTAATCATAAACATTTCCAGTATGTATTCCTATTACGATGCTGATGTGATAACAGGATAGTACATGCCGGGACTCTACAACTCCTTTAAAAAAATTCCAGAACATGTTAAAAGAAGCAGAAATAAAAGGAGACAAGACACCAGAAATAACGAGGGCACGCTTTCTCACTCACCTCGTACAAATTCAGCTCTTTTACTTTTTCTTTCAATATGACCTGAAAAGAGAGTTTATATACTTTCATTATCCCGGTAATTATCAATGATTGGCACAGTGTCACCAAGCCTGCACAGTGTGTCATTAGGGGAGTATGTGTGTACATAGCACATAGGTAATAGCATGTGCAGGGGACACAAACAACATAAGCATTATAAAATGTCTTACCTGTTTATAGGCATACAGTTCTTTCCGGGCCTGATGCCTTAACCTGTGGGGAGAGAAGACATCATCAGGGTCTGCAACTTTGGTTTAGAGGGGAGCCATGTTATATCATTACACATTGTGCTATCAACAAAGAACTGTACCTGTATATCAAATAAAAATACATATTTGGAATCTAAATAAAATAAGTCTGACTATCCCTGGTAAACTAATCATAGTACACTTCTATGTGATGTAGACCAAGAAGTAAATGTTTTATGGCCATGGCCATCTGGTACCATATGTCAAAGGTCACCCTGTACCTTGCTTGTTGTTCAAGTCTGGTGTCACATTCAGGGTCATCAATCTGTTCACATTAGTTACGCTGTCATGCTTTCCTAACGTCTGTAAATACTGTTGACCAATTAGGTGTTCACTGCACTGTATAAATACCCTTTGTTACAAAACAGTTGGCAATTTCCCAACAAAAGGACTTTCCCACATGTGTCAATAAACGGCAAGTGAGGTTTGACAACATTCCACAACAACATCTACTCATATCCGTCAAGGCTTTCACATTTTTACTTCCTTGGTGTTCCAGTTTGTCCTTTTTATATAATAGGTTGGTTCTGGATAGAGAGGGGAAGCATTAGGCTTTCACCACTATCTGGGGGCGTCATTTACCCCCGATTCACACCTGAACGTCTTGTAGCTTGAAGATCGAAGTTCCAAAACGCTTTAGAAACAAAAGCTCATGCTTTTAGATTGTGCCTGTTCACATATGAGCACTCAGGATGCCTGAAGTTCAACACATGAAGCTCAAAGGAGGTACATGGGCTACTTTGAAGTTCATGGGGCCCCTTTCTGCTTTCAATGGAAGCACCAAGGCTAAACTTAGCTTTCACTGGTTAAATGCTCAAGACTAAATATGCCTGAAAACATTCACGTTTGGGTGTAAATGGGGGTTTCCTGTCCTGAGGCAACATTTAGCTGACAGTGGGTGTGTTCGGGAACTTTTCCTCTGCCTTACACAGAGCAGTTCCCAGATTGTCGACAGAAGGAAGGGTAGACTGTAAGCTACAGCAAAGTTTAGGTGAGAACCTGAACTGCTCAGAAGGTAGGGTGCTCTCTATGGATGCAGTTTAATCCTCAGGTTTGAATATAGCTGAATTGCAGCTTTAAGTTTTTCGCATGTGCAGAGGATTGTAGGCAACAAGATTTCTAGCCTTCCCTTCCAATTTGTATTTCTATCTGTGCTGCTGTTGCAGATTTCCCTCGCTTGTCTGGTGAAACCATTGCCACCGTGACGGAAAGTTAGGGGAAATCTCTTTAATGGAACCCCAGATAGCAGTAAAATTTGACAGGGTTAAGGGTTAATCCTTCTCCCCACTAGCCAGAACTTAGAGAAAAGTTTTGGTTCTTGTCCACCTGGGATATTTTGGAGATCCTGCCATCCTTGTGTGTTCCAGGTCCTCTTGCTACATTCTCCACAATATAAATAAATATCCAGCAAGCAAAGTGGGAACCCTCAATGTACATAGCAGATGTGCAGACCCGGGAACTCAGCCAATAGAGTCCCAGAGAAATAGAAGAAACTCAAGTGCTTCACCTTTCTATCATCCACCACACACCAAAATACTGACCCTTTAAAAAGGTACAGATATCCTTAAAAATTTTAGAGTTTCCTCTACGAGGTGCTGTATTCACCTGAATGCTTCCTGCCATGTAATGAGATGCTATATGAAGCAGAGAAGAGTCACCAGGGAATCCGCTCAGTAATTGTCAGTGCCAAGTACGGTGATTCCCAACGTGAAGCACATTAGAAAATCCATTGCATGTTAGTAAATATTGGTCATCCGTTAACTGCTGTAGGAAAAGAAGATCAATGCAGGTTGGGTGCGGGTAATAAGGCCGTTGTAAGGTCATCCTCATCACTTGACAAGATCGGCTGCGGCTACATGTCGAGCACCTAATTGAATGGATTACCACATCCAACCTGAAGATAGTGGAGACCCTATGACAGCCATATATTGATTACTTATTCTGTCTAATCAGACGCAGAGGTGAAAGACATCCACGGTCAATATGAACTCCTCAGACCATCGTCCTCTTTATTACAAGCCGTGTTATTCACATAAAACTGCATGGCCTACATCCTACTTAAAGAGCAGCCGGAGAAAATAGGTAAAATCACCCAATGATGTATCAATATGTCTAGTGTAGTTTACCTTAAAGGGACTCTTTAGTTAAGTTTTAAAAAAATGTCAAAATGCAAAGGATTTATAACCGACTGCCCTGCCACCCGTTCCTCTGAACTTCACATCCGACACACTTGTGGGTGCATGTCTGGCCCCCCATTTCACTCTGTGGTTCCTCCTGCTGGCTACTTTTGTTCTCCATGGTCCCTGTGTGTGTTGTAAAGTAACCACCGCTCCAAGCTTGCTTCCGTGATGGACTACAATCTCAATACAAATAAGTAAACTAAATGTGAGATTGTAGTCCATCATAGGAGTGAGCTTGGAGTGGTGGCTACTTTATAAACACACACAGGGAACATGAGGAAAAAAAAAAAAGTAGTCACCCTCCAGAAGGAAGGACAGTGTCAGCACCAATTCAGACATGATTTGAGGATCTACAGCTGAGTGATACACAAATAAGATACATTTTTGTTAATAGTTAGGGGACTTGAATGTATTTTTAAGATTTAATTCCAGAGTTTAGTGTCACTTTAAGAATTGGTAAGCTGCAATGAATTACATTTGTGTTCTTGGGTTAAGATAAACTTGCCAATGCTAAGATATGGTGGCTGCATTGTTTTTAGCCTTTTTCCTTTAGTTTCACCTGTTGATCTGACCAGTGACACACTTCCTCTTAGGGTGGTTCCACTATACAGAGGAGCAATGGAGCCACCATGAAGAGGAGCAATGGAGCCCCCATAAAGAGGAGCAATGGAGCCCCCATAAAGAGGAGCAATGGAGCCCCCATAAAGAGGAGCAATGGAGCCCCCATAAAGAGGAGCAATGGAGCCCCCATAAAGAGGAGCAATGGAGCCCCCATAAAGAGGAGCAATGGAGCCCCCATAAAGAGGAGCAATGGAGCCCCCATAAAGAGGAGCAATGGAGCCCCCATAAAGAGGAGCAATGGAGCCCCCATAAAGAGGAGCAATGGAGCCCCCATAAAGAGGAGCAATGGAGCCCCCATAAAGAGGAGCAATGGAGCCCCCATAAAGAGGAGCAATGGAGCCCCCATAAAGAGGAGCAATGGAGCCCCCATAAAGAGGAGCAATGGAGCCCCCATAAAGAGGAGCAATGGAGCCCCCATAAAGAGGAGCAATGGAGCCCCCATAAAGAGGAGCAATGGAGCCCCCATAAAGAGGAGCAATGGAGCCCCCATAAAGAGGAGCAATGGAGCCCCCATAAAGAGGAGCAATGGAGCCCCCATAAAGAGGAGCAATGGAGCCCCCATAAAGAGGAGCAATGGAGCCCCCATAAAGAGGAGCAATGGAGCCCCCATAAAGAGGAGCAATGGAGCCCCCATAAAGAGGAGCAATGGAGCCCCCATAAAGAGGAGCAATGGAGCCCCCATAAAGAGGAGCAATGGAGCCCCCATAAAGAGGAGCAATGGAGCCCCCATAAAGAGGAGCAATGGAGCCCCCATAAAGAGGAGCAATGGAGCCCCCATAAAGAGGAGCAATGGAGCCCCCATAAAGAGGAGCAATGGAGCCCCCATAAAGAGGAGCAATGGAGCCCCCATAAAGAGGAGCAATGGAGCCCCCATAAAGAGGAGCAATGGAGCCCCCATAAAGAGGAGCAATGGAGCCCCCATAAAGAGGAGCAATGGAGCCCCCATAAAGAGGAGCAATGGAGCCCCCATAAAGAGGAGCAATGGAGCCCCCATAAAGAGGAGCAATGGAGCCCCCATAAAGAGGAGCAATGGAGCCCCCATAAAGAGGAGCAATGGAGCCCCCATAAAGAGGAGCAATGGAGCCACCATGAAGAGGAGCAATGGAGCCCCCATGAAGAGTAGCAATGGAGCCACTATGAAGAGGAACAATGGAGCCATCATGAAGAGGAACAATGGAGCCATCATGAAGAGGAACCATGGAGCCATCATGAAGAGGAACAATGGAACCACCATAAACAGCAGCATTGACCCCATATGAGGATGGTAGTCTAAGATGCACCAACAGATTTAGATGGACTCGACTAACATTTAACCTGAACCTCAGCTAACACTTTCTAAGCAGTTACAGCAAGAGTTTTTTTTCCTTTTGAGATAAAGATTTTACATAAATGAATAAAAGCTGGCCAATGTAAGCACCCCTGTCAGTGTGAAATGGTTTGTCTCAACCCTCTATTTTTCACTTTTGCTGGACAGCTTGGCCTGCTAAAGGAAGTTGAAAAATGACAGACTTGGCCAAATCACCAGGTGAAAATAAAGAGGAAAAAGAAACTAATGCAACAATCACGTCTAACTATTGGTAACCTGCAATATATTCAATTTTTGCTTTTAGGTTTACGTACCCTTTAAGGACAAAAATATCCAGTTTCCAATCTGAACTGCAGCTGCACAAGACCCCCGCAGTGCTTGCTTTGAATTCTTCTAGAATTGCATTGTTTACCGGGGCCTTCAAACAGAGAATCTCTCTGTGACCTGTACATAATGTAAATCCCAGAG